CTGGGAGCTTCCCTGCCAGTATTCTAGTTTCCTAATGCCCCTCCTTTACCCTTGCCTCTTTGCTTTGGAGTAATTCTTGACCATTTGGTCACCTAAAGATGATTTCTGTTGCTGTTGAGAATAGCCACAGTAGAGTGTACACCAGGTCAGCAGTTTTTCCGTGTAACATTCAGTGATACTGCTACCTGCGGGGGGCCAGCCCCGACAAACTTATTAGGGGGTCCTAGAGGAATGTATGGCGTTTGGCGAAGAAATGAAGCACAGAATCAATGGGTCTCGATGAATGGTGAATCTTCTCTCAAGTTTATTTCAGATTCTCAAACATCTTTTATACTGCTTTATACCGTCAATCTAGTAATCATTCTTTTCAAAGTAGTGGTCTAAATCATACATATTAATCATTTCAGTATACGTAGTTAGAGAATATCTGATTTCTGTAAGCAAACCTTATTGTTCTAAAAATGTCACGTTAACTTTAAAACGTAATTCTAAATCTTAACTCCTATTTCTACCTTCACCTACTATTTTCTATAGATTCATTAATCACACCATGTACCTAAACATTATTTGCTATGGTAACTGACAACCCAGTTGTTTCTCATGTTTGATTAAACAAGAAAAACAAGAAGCATTTAAAGTTTTGTAGTTAAGAAGAAACGGAACAACTTCCTTATACTAAAAACTTCTCTATACAAAACATCTAGTTAAATTTCTGCTTATGATCTATTACTGTTCCCTTAGCCCTAGATTGCATTTTTAGCTTTTTTTCTAGAGTTCTTAATGTCCCTGACTGAAACTACACAGAATGTTGAATGTAATCTTAAACTTGGACTGGCAAAAACTTTAGCTGGTTTTTCCTAGTGGTGAAACTTATTGTTAGTGTGAAAAGCATTCGTTAGGACTACGCATGATTGAATATGGTGTGAAGGTGCCTAAAAACAAGTTTCAAATCTCTAATATAGTTCTTACTAAGATTCTACTGAAAACTTTTATTATAAAATCAAGAAAATTAAAAATAAGCTGATTAAAACAAAGAGACAGAAACTGCAGAGTCCCCACATGAAATCCCTCCTGGGGCCTTGCCTTCCAAGGAGAGACCCATTGTGGCCTGACTTAACAATGAGCTCTTCATGCTTAGGGTCCTCCACTGCTCTGTCCTTTGGTGACATTACCTCTCCCAGCTACCGTTCTTCAAGTTGTGCAACTTTTCTCACCCTCTTTTCCCTAAGGTCACTGTCCCCTAAGCTTCCTATGTAATCTCCTGAGTTGCTATTGTTGATGTGGTGCTATATGGTGGTGGTGGTGGTGATGTACTGTGGAGTTGCTTCTGACCCATAGTGACCCTGTACAGGGTTTCTGAGGCTTTAAATCTTTACGGGAGCAGAAAACCTCATGTTTCTCCCGTGGAACAGCTGGTAGTTTCGAACTGCTGACCTTAAGGTTCGCAGCCCGATTTGTGACCACTACGCTACCAGAGCTCCTTGTGGTGCTATATAGACAGTCTTCAAAGATGAGATGATCATGCTTAAGTCAGATACTTTTTACTCATTTAGGTAAACTTTTTTTTTTTTTTTTTTTAATGTTTTACTGTGAATTATGTGATAGTTTACATGGGAGAACATTAGCTTTACATTCATCCTATCGTATATCGTTACATTGCCATGATTACAGTCTCCTCCATGCATCATCAATCCGGTAAGCTCTTGTTTGGTTTTAAGAAGACTTTGGGAGTTTAAGGCTTAAAGATAATCTCAGAACAGTAGTCTTGGGAATTCATCCAGCCTCGATGGCTCTAGAAACTCTGAATTTTATGAGAATTTGAAATTCTGTTTTGCATTTCTCTCTCTTTTGGTCACATTTTACCTATAGAGTTTTTAATCAAAATGTTTAGTAATGGTAGCTGAGCACCATGCCCTTTGGTCTCATGTCAGAGGAGGCTGTTTATCACCCATTCCCACCCATTTCATTTCCCAGGTTGTTTCTGCCCCTCCTCCTCTCTCTGTTGCCCCAGGTGAATAGGGAGCCTTTGTTAGACCTTGGGTGGCCACTTACAAGCTTTGAAGATCTCAGGCATTGTGCCATTAACTAGCAGATAGAACAGAAGAGGTGAACAGGGATGGCCCTGAAACCATGATTCTAAACCTCCAGACCAAGACATGAACTCCCGTAGAGTATTTGCTTGGTCCTAAGCAACCCATCAGCTACTCTGTTGGTTGGTTTAAAGATGCATATCGTATACCATTTGCCAATTCATGTTTTTACAGTTGAACATATAATTTGTTGCCATTGATTGATATCTTTCTGCTCTTTTAAAACAGTAAGCGTATATTGACACCTCTTTCCATTTGGAACAGGTTACCCCTCCAACATTAGTGCAAACGCAGGTAGAAGGAGGTGCCACGCTCTTCAAGCTGGACTATTTTGGGGAAGAGGCGTTCCTGACACAGTCCTCGCAGTTGTACCTGGAGACCTGCCTCCCTGCGCTCGGGGACGTGTTTTGCCTGGCACAGTCGTACAGGGCTGAGCAGTCCCGGACACGAAGGCATCTGGCAGAGTATGGGATTCTCACTCTTTTATTAAAGAAAATGTCTTTATAGAAGGGAACTCTATAGAGGTAAATGATGCCCATGTGAAAACAAATAAGAATTCTGGTATGTGAAGGGCGATTGAATAAACTAATGGCAGCATCTATTTAGAAGTTGCACCTTGGACCATAGCTGAGGTCTGCTCTTCCAGGATGCCTTAATCCTTTATGTGTTACAGAATAAACAGGAAGTCACTAGTCAAGGGTCGGGGGCGGGGGGAGAGTGTTGGGAGTTGGTAGTTCTCAGGACAATGTGTTGAAATCTCTGCTTGGAAGAAGCACTCTGAGTAGTATCTTGTTCTCAGGTACACCCATGTTGAAGCCGAGTGTCCTTTCCTGACCTTTGAGGAGCTCCTGAACCGATTGGAGGACTTGGTTTGTGACGTGGTGGACAGAGTCTTGAAATCCCCTGCAGCCAGCATAGTGTATGAACTGAATCCGGTAGGTGGTGGGCAAGTTATTAAGAATTTTTTTTAAAGTTTTTATTGTGAATTGACTGATAGTTTATATGGGAACATCATTTCATTGCAGTGATTACAGTCCCCTGCATGCGTCATCATTCAACCATTCAACAGTATTGGTTCTATTCCCTCTGGTGGTGTTTTTTTTTTGGGACGTGCACCCAAACACTCAGGAGTATGCAATCATTCAGACAGCCAAAGGGCACACCCTGCTCCCCAGCCACCAGCACACAGCCCCTCTCCCTAGAGAGTCTAGAGTCTTCAGCTGCCCCGTCTCTCCATGTCAACAACTCTGCCTCCATCTCTGGGAAGTGACTTAAGATTTTTAAAATGAATCCTTGATACTAGTAATTTCATGATATTTTTATTTCTAGAAAAGGAGCCTCAGGTTGTTTTCCATTTTTTGGAATGCCTGTTTTGTTTGGGACCAGTCAGACAATATTTCATAATTGTAAACTGTTTTTCGAAACTAGAAACTTAAGTGTTCATGGTTTCTTTTTATATACTCTCTTTTTCCTTTCAACTAAAGAACTTCAAGCCCCCCAAGCGGCCTTTTAAACGGATGAACTATTCAGATGCCATAGTGTGGTTAAAAGAACACGATATAAAGAAAGAAGATGGGACTTTCTATGAATTCGGAGACGTATGTATTTCTTTCTAGTTACTGTTTCAAAGTTGGCATTGTGTTTAAGTGGATTGTTGTTGTTATGTGCTGACAAGTCGATTCCAACTCGCAGTGACCCTATTTGATAGGGTAAAACTGCCCCATAGGGATTTCTAGGCTGTAATCTTATTCTTGGTGTGGCTCTGGGTTAATGCGCTGGACTGCAAAGTCGCTTTGAACCTCAAGGTCAGCAGTTCAGGCTCACCAGTTGCTCCTTGGAAACCCTACACAGGGTTGCTTTAAGTTGGAACCGACTTGATGGAACTTAACAACAATGACAGTCTTCGTGGGAGCAGACTGCCACATCTTTCTCGTGGAGTGTCTGGTGGGTTTGAACCACCAATCTTCTGGTTAGCAGCCCACTGCTTAATCTGCTACACCACCAGGGTCCTTTAGGTGGATTTCTGTTTCTGACTAATTAGTCATGCAGGAAGCTTCTGCTAGTCCTCAAACTAGTGGTGATAACAGAACCTACTCTTCAGGGTCCTCTGAGAGTTCAGTGAGTGAATACGGGTAACAGGAACTGAAGGTGCCTTCACTGCAGCATTCTGTAAACATTAGCAGATGCTCTAGCATTCCTTCCAGTCCCATCCAGTGTCGTGTTCTTCCTTCCATCATTGATCTGCGGCGTGGACTGAACAGATCTATCTCTAATCCTCCAGGCTGGCAGGGCTGCTGGAGAAGGTTGTGGACTTTGACATTGTGTGCACACTGTTGGTGTTTGTGTACGTTTGTTTTGTCTGATGTGTATTACTCATACAGTTTCATGATGTATAACAGCAGAATTTTGTCCTGGAAACTCCTTAGCCAAGTCGTAGGATTAAGTGGGGAGAGCACAGGCTCTGCAGTTAGAGGCTCAGTGAGCTTAGATACCCTCTCGGTTCTTACCAGCTGTGCCGCGGGTGGCTGGTGACCCCTGCCTCTGCTCCCTTCTCTCTGCCTTGGAGGTGGCATCTCCAGACAGGGTTGTGAGGAAGAAAGGAGCTGGATCCTTAGTAGAATTCATTGTACGGGAAGTCTTCAATGCAGATCGCAGGTCAGCGTGCCCTCTGTCCACACCCATGGCATCCCATACACTTGCGTCCAGGACTGGTACTGAGCAGTGGTCTTCAGACTTCTGAAGGTCTTCTCCTTTGGCGGTTTGTAGAGAACGTCATGCAGGAAACCGCTGAAAGACCAGACCCCTCGAACTATCACCTCCCCGTGCCCTCTACCCTTCTGAGGGCTTAGGGCTCCAGGGAGGTTTCACTTCTTAGACTCAACACGTCAATGAGTCTTGTCAGCTTCTCTTAGAGTTCCTGGACCAAGAGCTTTCATTTTTAACTTGAATTTGCATGTGGTTTCACTGAAGGGTGTTTTGAGATTAACCTGATTCAAGTCTAATAACATTTCGGTGTGGTTCACGTATAAATTTGGCGGTGGTTATTTGTCTCATGACTGTGTCTTAGTACCATTAAAGCTTAACTGATTCATGATACCAGAAAAGAGTTAGTGCTAATAATAATAGCCCCTCAGTGGATCGATGCTGTTCTGAAGCATTCGCCGGTGACTTTATTCCTTATGTGACGAAACACGCTACTTTACATTCAGAGCGAGATCAGACTGGCCGCTGGAAAAATAACAGCACAGTCTGGAGGGAAAGTGACCATGTCTGGGATTTGGGGGTTTTCATTCGTTCAGCAGAGCAGTGCTTGAGAGAGCAGTTCATTTCATAGCTGTGTGTGAGTTATCTACTAGGCTTCCCTTGGAATGAAGTGGTTCCTTCTCCGTGGGAGTATGGGTGATGGGTGGGTGCATAGTCTCTGCTGTGCTGATGGGGATGGAAGAGTTACTGTCCTGTTGCATTTGAGTTGTAAATGGTAATGAAGTCTCATTTCACCTCAGGATATCCCCGAAGCTCCTGAGAGACTGATGACAGACACCATTAATGAGCCAATCTTGCTGTGTCGATTTCCGGTGGAGATCAAGTCCTTTTATATGCAGCGCTGTCCTGAGGATTCACGCCTTACTGAGTCGGTCAGTTTGTGATGCTCAGAGTAGTCGGCGCTTGGCTTTCTAAGACGGTGGGGACTGTTATTTGGAACAACATGAGGCAAATGTTTCATTATAAATCTAGAATGACAATACTTGAAGAAGGCTTTTTCATCTCCTGATTGGAGCTAATATGATTTGTTAAGTTGTAGAATTTGAATGTTGTTGAATGCCGTCCATTCAATTCCAACTCCTCGTGACCCTGCCTAGAGAAATTGTCCATCTCACTCTGGTTCTTGGAGCTGCAATGTAGTCTCCACTGAAGTGTCCAGCAGTACCTGTCGGACAGCCCAGTAGTGACTGTGCGCTTTCTTTTTTCATGACCTGAAGGTGGACGTGCTGATGCCTAATGTGGGTGAGATTGTGGGAGGCTCCATGCGTATCTGGGACAGCGACGAGATGCTGGCAGGCTACAAAAGGGAAGGCATTGACCCCACTCCCTACTACTGGTATACAGATCAGGTAAAAACAGGTTTTTAACACTACTTACATTTTTCCCCCCACTAATCTTTCTGTATAAATTGACATTTTTGAAAGGAGAGCATTCAGAGTACTCTGGGACTTGCGTAGGCTTTATTCAGTTTAATGGGCATCATAATGTAGCATATGGATGTGGCCAGTTTTGCCTTCAGCCACGTTATCTGTTAATGTCACTTAAAAGTCTGTCCCAGTGTTTCAAATCATTAGATTCTGCACTGTGGTTCATTTCCTCTGATAAACAGAGACTGACTTCATTTAAGGTTTGAAATCTTGTCTTTCCAGAACTTTTTGTTCACACTTTGTCCATGAAGGTTTATAGATTTAGAGTTGGGTTGTTAACCATGATGAGCTAATTCGTTCTCACTGGAATATTTTAACTATGTTGAAATTATTTACTCTCCCCTTTCTCTTTTTTTTTAACAGAGAAAATATGGTACCTGTCCTCATGGAGGGTATGGCTTGGGCTTGGAACGATTCTTAACGTGGCTTCTCAATAGGTACCACATCCGAGACGTGTGTTTATATCCTCGATTTGTGCAGCGCTGCAAGCCATAGCCAGTTCCCTTGGAAGATGAAAGGTTCAGGAAAGGAATAGACTGCCTCTTTTCTAAAACAGCCAAAAGCTTCCTTTGTTTCATTGGAATTCAACTATTGGTTTTCTCATTCCGTTAAGTATTTATACGATCAAAAAAATTAGTGTAAATGACCTGAAATGGCATTAATGTTGCCATTTTAACAAAAGAAAAATCCATGACAAAATTTGAGGAAGGTATGTTGCCTGTCACTATAATTGTAGTAGTATGTCATTACAGCTCATAAGCTTTGTGTCACACACACCATATGTCTAAACCAGTTTAAATTAGGGTCTAGTTATATTCCAGTGACTTTGTTGTTCTCTCCTTTTCGGTGCAACTGGAATTCTTCATATCATTTTATTCTATCAACAAGTTGAAACTAACATTGTCGGATATTACAGTATGGCATAACAGATTTGCTAATTTCAGAACAATTAATTGAGCAATGAATATAGGGGTCAAGTGCATATAGTCCTTTGCATCAATTATTAATTTGTCTAACTCTGTATTACTAACTGAGGTATACAAATTGAAATGGGAAAACTGATAAAAATTAAAGAATGTGACATAAGATCATCATTGGTGAAATAAATAAGATCATATATACATTTCTCTTTTTTTGGGTAGTGATTTAAAGCATCCTTCTTAGCATTAGGGTAAGCTAAAGAGACAGTCTGATTTTCCTGGGCGTCCTAAGTAATTACTAATAGATGAGTTGTCAAAGAAATCACAGCAGGAGGCTTAATGACACCTGTCACTGGTTATTTGAGGTCATCTTCAGGATGTCATCTCACAAACTAGAGCAGGCTTATAGTGAATGCTTCATTTCAGGTTAACTGTTCCCCCAAAATGAATATCATGTATTCTCAATAATCTGTATTCCCAGCAATCAATAAATGATCACATGGAAAAATACTTAGCTGGCTTTTTTTTTTGTTTCATTTAGACATCTCTCTTGCAAGAATGCCATTTGCATATTTTCATGGTATTGTATGTTGTTATTGTTAGGTGCCATTGAGTCAATACCAACTCATAGCGACCCTGTGTACAATAGAACAAAACACTAGCTGGCCCTGGGCCTACCTCACAATTGTTGCCGCACTTGAGCCCATTGATTCTGCCACTTTACCTATCCATCTTGCTGGGGGTCTTCCTCTTTTTCTCTGACCGTTCACCTTACCAAACATGATACCCTTCTCTAGCGACTGGTCCCTCCTGACAATATGTCCATAGTATGAGAGAAGGAATTTGGCCATCCTGGCCTCCAAGGAGTACTTTGGCTGCACTTCTTCCAACACAGATCTGTTGGTTCTTTTGGCAGCCCATGGCACTTTCAATATTCTTCTCCAGCACCATAACTCAAAAGCATCAATTCTTCTACGGTCTTCCTTATTCACTTTCATCTTTCGTATTCATATGAGGTTATTGAACATACCATGGCTTAGGTCAGGCACACCTTGATCCTCAAGCTGACATCACTGCTCTTCAACACTTTAAAAATGTCTTGTGCAGCAGATTTGCCTAATGCAATATGTCATTTGATTTCTTGACTGCTGCTTCCATGAGTGTTGATGGTTAATCCAAGAAGCATGAAGTCTTTGATAACTTGAATCTTTTCTCCGTTGCTAAGAATGTTGTTTATTGATCCAGGGTGAAGATTTTTGTTTTCTTTACATTGAGATGCAATCCCTACCAAAGGCTGTGCTCTTTGATCTTCATAGTAAATATTTTTAAGTCTTCTTCACTTTCAGCAAGCAAGGTTGTATCATTTGCATATCGCAGGTTGTTAATGAGTCTTCTTCCAATCCTGATGCCACAGTTTTCTTCATATAACCCAGCTTCCTGGATTATTTGCACAGCATACAGGTTGAATAAGTTTGGTACAACAATACAACCCTGTCGTACACCCTTCTTAATTTGAAACCATTCAATGTTCCCATGTTCTGTTAAAACAACTCCTCTTGGTCCATGTACAGATTCCTCATGAGCACAATTAAGTGTTCAGGAATACTCATACTTCGCAATGTTGTCCATAGCTTTTCATGATCCACACAATCGAAAGTCTTTGCATAGTCAGTCAATAAAGCACAGGTAAACATCTTTCTGGTAGTCTCTGCTTTCATCCAAGATCCATTGGACATCCACAATGACAGCCCTCGTTGCACGGCCTCTTCTGAATCCAACCTTAACCTTTGTATGTTCTCTGTCAATGCACGCTTGCAGCCGTTTCTGTATTACCTTTAGTAAAATTTTCTTTTCATGGGATATCAAAGATATTATCCGATGACTTGCGCATTCCATTGGGTCACCTGTCTTTGGAATAAGGATTTCTTCCAATCAGTCAGCCAGATATTTGTCTCCCAAGTTTCTTGGCATAGATGAGTGCAATACCGCCTCACTTTCTTGAAAGA